CCTGAAAATTCAATTCAGAACCAAATTTGCTTCTCATTTCCTGAATCATTTTCTCCGCAGCATCCCAGTCTCCTTCCTGCTTAACACCCGAATAATCACATTATACGCGCCAATGTTCTGTTCTAACTTCCCATTGCTCCTCATCCACTGAAAAAACCACAGAGATTTACTATCACTTCTCTTTACAAGCCTTTTCAAGATCGCATTACAAAGTCAGAGCTCAAGTCAATCCGTATGGAAGAGTAATCTACATCAAAATCATCATCATATACAAAGAACTTGTCTATATCAAGTGTACCACCTTTCCTAGGTTTCCTTTTGTATCTATATTTCAAATCCACTTCAACTGCTCTGTTCACTACCTTCTTTGCCACCCGAACTTTCTTCCAGGTTCAAATCTCGAATCAGATTCCCCTCGTCCAAACCCTCGTCAGAAACGCCGGTTAGCTCATTTTCGAGCCTAGAGACTTGGACGTACTTGATCCTGCTCAAAGAAACGAAAGCGCAAGCTCGAAGCGCATGAAGGCAACTAGAAGGCGAAAAGCCAGAGCTACGATCAGCAGAATTCAAAGGGAAATTAGCCTTCTTTGAATCAAAGGTCTCCAAAGAAACTGGAAACCTAAGCAGGGCCATGAATTTACAAAGGCATCAAGTAGAACAATTCGATACAGTTATATCCATAGAAGAGGAAGCTTTCGATTGAGCTTAGCGAGTACTGACTGAGGAAGAAGCTGAAGCTGTGGGTGAAAACCAACCTGTGGAGGCACTTCAACCTCCTTTTAAGTTTTATCCTTTCATCTCTTCCCTGCTCTGTGCTGAGACCACAAAACACAACACATGCATAAGCACGACCTCATTCTCCTGCGGGCTCTAGCCAAGTTTAATCTGTTGGAGGATGTGGGGGAAAAAAAAGACAGACTTTGTTGTAAAAGTAAAAAGATGTAATTTAATTTTTGTCGAAAATGATTAAAGCAAACAAATAACGTACTTAGTTAATTTTCTTCCTCTCTTCGTGTTACAAAAGCAATATACTGCTTCTAATTTTTAATATAAAAATTTGTTTAATTTTTATTTTGATCATAAATATAAAATCTCAATTTATTTTGTTTTTTATATTTATTTGTTTTTTTCAAAATAATCATTGTAATAATAATAATTCTAACTAATACACTTTATTAGTAAGAATATTTTAGAAAAGACAACACATATTTATTATAAATGACTAAATTAACTAATTTTCTTAATCTACTCAAATTAGTCAATCAGTTCTTATATTAAGGACTAAGAGATAGTATTTAATTTAGTTAATAAAAGCAGGTAATATCTTCAACTATAAAAACTAAAAAGATAACATACTATCTCCGCCTCTAGTTATAAAACTTATTTACAGTTTATAAATAAGGTCTTATAATTAGAATTAGAAGTAATACATAAGGTGGCCACAATTATTTAATATTTTTTATTAAGAAAACAAAGTATGGCCTACCGTTTTTTTTTATTCCCTCTCCAACGTCACTCGTCTATTCATGACAAATGTTTGTTTCAAATTATTTGAAAAAATAATTATCACAAGAAAAATCTTATTTATTCTTTTGTTTGTAATACATATGTCGCTTTCAGGTCAATTAAGGAAATATCTCCAATCTCCAATTCTCCATGGCCGAATCTTATTTAGTGGCATTATTTTTTTGCTGTGAGAATTATAATGAGGTGTCACAAAAAAATATAACTACCAAAAAAAAAGTTAGAAATTGTCTTTTTTTTTTAGAACTTATCAGTATAAACTACTTAATTATTATTGAGAGTTTTTAATAATTTTTTTTTAAAAAGATTTATTACAATTCTTCCTTCTTTGTTTTTTGCGTGGTCAAGTTTTATCAGCTGTACGGGACAGAACTTTTCAGATAGCAATCATTGTGGCCCAAAAATGTCACACTGGGCCCAAACCATAGCGACCCAGCCCAAGCAGTATCACTTTGGGGGCCCAAGATCAAGGGGATCCCATTGATGCCCAACATATCTACTTTAAATGCTTTCTCAGTTAAAATATTTGTCAAGTGCGAGAATAATGCAAGTTAAACCGAGTGCCTTTGAGATTTGTTCAGTAACTAGAATTTGAAATGCACAATCAATCCGATAAATGATTTCTGGGTAAAATCTATTGTGTTTACTAATGTTTAAGAATGATTTTTTTGGTTATTATTAGTTCATCTGCTTTTAAATTTTTTATCTGTCTAGTCTGATGGGTATGGGATTATTGTCATTAATTTTCTTTCCATATTAATGGGAAGTCACTGACAAAAAGTGGGCAAACTTCTGTGTTTCTGCAGAATACTAATTATGTGCTTAGAAATTCGTTGATCAAATTCAAAACATCGCGAGAGTAACGATTAAGAACTAAACGTGTTTCACTACCACTTTAAAAAAGGGGTCAAAACAAAAAAACCCAGTTTCACATATCAAGCAACAACACCCGATGAAGTATTTGGCATCTCAAGAGGAATATCTTTAAAAGGTTATGTTTAGTCATAAAGAGATAAATAGGAATATCAAGGATTATACTGTTAAAAAAAAAAAGACTTGGATTAACTTATATTCAGTACATTGAGTTTTCCAACAGTACAAATAGCAGATATAATGAACTGTGTTGCACATATGGCAAAAGGACTGGAGAGCAAGAATTTATTAGAGAAGTGACACAGCTTCAAAAGCTAAATTGAAGATTTAATTAGAGTCTGAAGTGGAACAAAATGGAAAGTGGATTTCAAGAGGCACTGACAAGCTGAAGGTCAAGGGAAGGCATGGAAGTTCCAGCAAGGAAGGCTTTGATAAGAGAGAGAGCATATTTTGGTCTGTGCAGAGGAACCTCGTGCCCTGCCCCCCTTACTGCCACAAAAGTGAGTCCTTCATATTCTTGTGTCCATCCTCCCACCTGTCAACGAGTCAGACATTTATCACAAGTCGGTTCCTTCATATCTATCAATGTATGTGCGTATGGTTTAGTACTATATTAGACTAGAGTATTTCACAGAACTTCTTCCATATATTATGCTGTGAAGAATCTGATGACAAAACCTCCAGGCCTATTTATAAGAAACAACTTATAGTTAAAATATAAGCTGTATCTTATAAAAACGCCAAGATGAAGCATAATAAAACCACCAGTAGTTGTAATCTAGACTATAAGTAAAGGGTATTAGTAGTTAGCAAGAGGCTTTAAATTTAAATCTTTGTTTCATCGCGTGTCAAATTTATTTAGTGAAAATGCAAAATACACAATATCAAAGCTTCTTTTTACCGGCCATTCTCTTTTTTTCTTTTCTATGCAGCTAATAAGAGACTGATTACTATGCCTCAAAGCCTATCTATTTACATTATCTCTTTCAACATATTGAAACACGAAAAACAAAGAGGTTGTACAATCACTTACCTGCCCATCGTCATACCAAGGACGCCAAGGTCTCACAGTTTTAAGTTCCAGAGCATCTATGCTGTAGCGAGTGGATGTCACTGGGATCACAGCATCTGTGTCACCACTGTCATATGGGAAAAGAGTTTATGATTGGTGAAAGAAATAGCGAATGAAGAGGAAACGCAAGTATACAATGTTCAAGAAAATTTAGTTTCGATCACATTCTGCACAAAAATTTATGGCCTTTTTGAGTTCCAAAATCACATGCATGAGGAGTGTGGATAGTAAGATTCTCTTTCACTAAAACCTTTTTTGCTTTTCCAACTACATCAAAGGATTTGTTAAACAAATTTGTCATGACCAAAATGAAATTCTGAAATGAAAATGAAGACATGAAATGGAAGTTTTGATGCTTTCAAAACCTAAGTGATCACTATCACTGATCACACAATCTTTCCACACAACCTTCTATATTACTAACTAGCAAGAAAATGCGTCAAACTACATGAGGTTATCTTCCTAACATGCAAAACCTGCACTTGAATATCTAGCATGGACAAAAGCCAATGCTTGAGGAAACATCAGTTCTGAGGGAAAATTTATTAAATGCATACTTCATAGTTTTATTTGATGCAACCCAGTTCCATTATGAAGGTTATATATCCAAACCACAAGTTATGTGGTCTAATCTCGCATCAGATTGAGATTTGAGTCATACTGCCTTAGGCAACATAACATCAGCAGTGAATGCATTTGATTTGAGGTACATAAGTACATAGATACGCTAAGGCAAGTATATATGTGGTTATGGTTGTGTTTGTGTGTCTTTGTACATGGTACAAATCAACCATATGCATTAAATATTCAGAGAGTAACCTGAACATCCATATCCTCAGTCCCGCCTGAATTAGTTCACGGTAAATATCAAGCACTGTCAATGGAGAATCCTTCCAGTTTCCACGTACCTTGTCACTGCAAAACATTGAGAGTAAGATACATTTCATTGTCGACAATTCAAAGCAGTATATAGAAGCCCATATAGAGGAAAGAAAAATAATGGTGCAATATTTTTTTAAAAATTGATTTAGTTGCTAGATTTCTCAGATTTTCAACTTGATCTTTATAATAACTAAAGAAAGGATGTCAGCTAACTGCTAAATGTTCATCTCATTTACTAGTTAAACATATGAAGGGAAAATTTCATGTCACTTGGTTTATTAGTCCTGTATGGCAATAACTTAAATGGATTCTGATAAATCACATGGAATGCCTAAGCCATTTGTTGTTTTATAGTACATGTTGCATGGGAAAAACAAATAGATGCCCTCAATTGTTTCCCTAATGATCATAAAATACCTGCAGGTCTGCCATTCAGCAGGCCTGTGAGCTGGATCAACATGAAGAGCCTCCTGGACCTCAGGTAGATTGAAGTATATAGTGGAATGCTTCTCAGTGCAAGGATCGTATACGGCTCTAAGTCTGCCAATTTTCTATGACATGACATATCATATCAGTAAGAACATGTCCCATAATCACATAATTAGGTTCTCACATATCTTTGATTATCGGTAGAATTCCCAATCATCTCATGTGTATCTACAACATTGATTTTGGGATGAATTTTATGACTTACGTGGATAATAAGATCCCAAAACTAACTACTGCTTTTAAATCAACTTTTTCATAAAAAAGTTCATCATAATATATAGAGGATAATTCAAAACATTAGGATTGCTTCACCAGGAAAAAACTTCATTTAGAGAGAATTAAAATGTTCAAGTAAAATGTCATCTTTAAGTAGATTTCCCACTCATAATTTTGTTGTGTTTAGAATGAGAGGAAAAATGAAATAGACAGAGAATCAATAGTTTTAAGGTAACACTCACATGCTTTCTTTTCACCAGCTGGTTTGCCTGGCTAACATTAGCAGCGCATGTAGGAGTGAAAATACTGTACTGATCAACGAGGCCAATTTCTTTGTCAGCATTATCTAAAGTTTTTACACATGAATCTGAAGGATTTATGAAAGACTCGTGATCACATTGAAGGTTCATTTGCTGATATGTTTGATCAGAAATCAAACCGGATGACCACAAAAACTGGGCAACTCCCTTGTGATCATTGTAATCATCAGTTAGAGCATTTCCTACCTGCAACAGAAGGATATATTATTCACTGCATTGGTACTGTGACGAGAAGCAGAACATTCAGGAATTATTCTCATGAAGTGACAAAATCTATACCATGTAACCTTTCAGATTGATAACTTTTTCTTTGGCGTTCTTGTTGTAATTCACAATAACCTGGCTAAGTTGGGGAACATAATGCCCTGAAACACATGTCCAACAAGTGATGCATACCCAGCGATCAGAACAAGATGAAATCTCTCAAAAAACTGAGCATAGTGAAATCAAGGAGCCAAATAGTTTACATGTGATCTGATCCCATCAACTTTATTTTCTTATGTCTGTTAGTGTTCAAGTAAAAAGCCAATCCTTTTGATGACACAATCCCTACCACCCAACCATGATTCTAAAAAATGTCTGTAGGTTGTAGTCCTTTGTCTATATCAAAGGGGAATTCTGGAGTTTCATTTACCTGCATAGCTTTCACCGGAGATAAAGAAATCTCTTCCTTTATACTGAGGAAACCGCTCAAGCCACTTCAATAGGAATTCCAACGAGTCGTCAGCTGGCCATGAAGAAAGAATAAACTTGAGTGGTACGAGATGCACATATTCCAAAGCAGAAACATGATATGCTAAATGGTTAGACTCATACCAGTCCTCTTATCCCCATTGTTCTCTATGTCGGATGAAGTGTTTGAATACGAAAATCCAACTCCAACGGGAGAATCAAGAAAAAGAATGTTGGCAACTATAAAAAACAATACAAATAGTTAGACTGACACATCTGCATCTGAGAGGAATTTTAAGAAAATGCTAACACCCTCGTACGTTCCATTTTATTTACCTTGATTCCAAGAGTATGGATTTAGATAAAGGGTCCTGCCATCTGGCTGAATGTGAAAGGGACCAATTTCCTCTGCTTCCCCATAGGCAATGGAGGAACAGCCAGGTCCTATACAAGACAGACATTTCACAACCTTAAAACAGCTACAAATCAAGGACACAATATTATGAAGCAAACGAAACGTTAACGAGTATAAATAAATAATGTTTTGACTACTGACCTCCATTGAGCCATAGAACAAGTGGCTTCGTTTCAGGGCCTGAAGCAGCTTCGAAGAACCAGTAAAACAGTGCCCTCCCAGATTCCTGGTTGACTGTGACATACCCAGAGTAATGTGCGAATTCGATGTTAAACGTTTGACCCGGCAGCCTATCAACCCTGTCCAGTTGTTGCTGAACAAACGGATCCGAGGAAGATGCCCCCAGAGCAAACCAAATATTCCCGGAAATGGTGGCTACTATAGCTAAAATATGAGCCAAAAAAGCACAAAGTAACTTGTTAGGTTTTGCCATGTATCCCGCACAAAAGGGGCTATTCACTGAATCCAGGACAAAGATCGATTCTTTTTTGGTACGTGATCCCTCGCTTTAAACGGAGCAGGATCTCGTGGTGGGGTTAATGAGTGATCATCATGCTTGCTTCGCTGTTCTTTGCAAACAGAATAAGCAAACAGCCTCCTAGTTTGTTGTGCCACCGAGTTTTGTCTGCATTATGACTTCTGAACTAGACAGACAGGATATCAGATGATTCGGAGAAACGCATGGGCGTTTTTTGGATTGTGACTTGACGCAAAAACCTTTGCTTTAGAGCTGGTATGAACATGGATGCACATCCTGTAGTTGGTTTTTGAGCTGGTTCATTTTCTTATGATTTCTCTTCTCTAAGTTACAATTATATGCAGAGAAGATGGATCAATTTCAGTTCTTGGCAAAACAAAAGAAGGTCTATGTCTTTTAGACTCCATGTTTTCCACGGACCTGCAATATACTCCCTCCATTCAGACATTTGATGCTTATAGTATATTTCTATATATAAGAGACACTTAAAATTTGTCTCTATTTTTTTGTGTTGATTTCCTATTTTATCCATATTTATTGTCTTCAACTCACACTCTCTCTCCCTCTTCTCACTTCTCTTTCTTTCAATAATTTAATTATTATCTTTCATACTCTCTCTCCTTATTAATGAAAGTATTTTTGGAAAAAAAAATTATATTGATTGTTCTTAACTAATTTTAACTGCTTTTTTTATCAACGTAATTCGGTTATTTGTCTCTTATAATTTTATAATAAGAAACGGAGGAAGCAATAGTTAGGTGAATTCGAAATTGAGAATTAATATTATCAGTATTTTAATATTATGAAATGCAACAACAAACAGAAAAGAATTTCTCGATCATGGTGATGATCAATATATATGATTATGTATTGTCCGACAGCGGCTTTTATTAAAAAAGCTTCATTTCCCAGAATCACGTGAACTCGCATGATGAGAGAATTGTTCAATCATGAGCACAACAGAATGGGCTTTTTTTTTTTAATTTTCAGACTGAAAAATTTTCTTGCCTAAATTTACAGTTTCATCCAATTTTAATTTGGTAGTATAATTTTATAATATGAAATAAAATCAGAACTCGATAGTACATTCTTGGTAAAAAAAATTAAAAAAAAAAAGAAAGAAAGAAAACTACTGGTAAAAAAATACGAACCAAAAAGCTCATGCGTCACTCCACTAACAAATTACATTTCTGGACCACATTCCATGCTAACATTAATCTTCTTACCTCTTAGTACTTCTGGTTATGGGTCAAGCCCACTGGACAGACGGCCCTCCTTCAAAAATTGTTTGAGGAAGCCACGAACATCTAACGGTGATTACGATATTCACAAATACAATGCTGCTTGCTTTAGAAGATTGCCGTGGGCCCTTCAAATCAGATCATAGGCTCATTATGCTTCTCACTTTAACTTCAAATTGAAGTTATTATCACGATCTCTCGATCATGAAACGTATTTTTATATTAAGGATCTATTATTGGAGGAAAAACTATTAAGAATATATTATCTCCAATCCTAAATATAAGAGCTGGTTGGCTAATTTGGATATGTTAAAAAAATAAATTAAGTTAGCTATTTATAATAAATATATATTTTCTTTTCTAAAATATCCTTACTAATTAAATGTATTGGCTAAAACTACTATTCATGAAAAGAATACATTAGAAAAAAATACATAAATATGAGAGACGAGATAGATTGAGATTTTATATTTAGAACCAAAATAAAAACAAAATATAATATTATATTAAGGACCAAAGTTAATATTAAAAGTTTAGGTCATACTCATTCAAAAGCACCTGTTCATGCAATTTGAGACCAATCTTTTTTGGGAAAATTTCACTGTAGGACCGCACAAGACAATTAATCTCAAAGAGCCTCCAAAACTTTCTGAAATCTCACTGCAGGACTAAGGGGCCAATTTGATATTAATTCCACAAACGAAATGACGCCACTACCCTTAGCATCAGGTGAACCAGTCCACATGTGAACGGACTGATTCCACGTGTGAATATATGTATTTATTCTGCAAATTGGCTAGTTCTCCTTGCAAATGCGCTCTCCCGCACTTGTTTCCTCACGAACGCATGCATCAGGTGAACCAGTCCACATGTGAACGGACTGATTCCACATGTGAATATATGTATTTATTCTGCAAATTAGCTAGTTCCCCTTGCAAATGCGTTCTCCCGTACTTGTTTCCTCACAGACGCATGCATCAGGTGAACCAGTCCACATGTGAACGGACTGATTTCACGTGTGAATATATGTATTTCATCTACAAATTAGCTAGTTTCCCTTGCAAATGCGCTCTCCCGCACTTGTTCCCTCACGGACGCATTCATCAGGTGAACCAATCCACATGTGAACGGACTGATTCCACGTGTGAACATATGTATTTATTCTGCAAATTGGCTAGTTCCCCTTGCAAATGCCCTTTCCCGCACTTGTTCCCTCCTACTAGGGGCAGTGTCGTCATTTCGTTTGTGGAATTAATATCAGATTGGCCCCTTGGTCCTGCAGTAAAGTTTCAGAAAGTTTTGGAGGCTCTTTGAGATTAATTGTCTTGTGCGGTCCTACAGTGAAATTTTCCCATCTTTTTTTATATATATCTCATATTTTGTAAATCACAGTTAAAAAACTGTTTTTGAAGGATTCTATCCTCATTTCACATCATTCATTAGTTGACAGCCAACTCGGCTTCATATTAATCCGGATTAATTTGCATCTGACGGATTCAACCCACCTGGATGCATAAATCTGGGGGCCCTGTGATTATTGCCATGTGACGGTCACAGCACAGCAGTGGTCCATCTTTGGAGTCCCGAGCGAGTGAAACATCATCCTCAGGTCACCATGTGATTTCTCCTGACCATTGATGTGAAAAGTGCAGACGCCACGAAAACGCACCGTTTGACACGTTCCTGTTGAAATCACCGTCGATTCTATAAATTTACTTATTTATTTATCTATCCATTCATAGAAAAACAAAAGCTTTTTTTTTAAAAAAAATCGTCTTATAAACTCGATATTCTTTTTTGTTTTGTATATTAATAAAGGTAAGAACAAAAAAAATCTGGAACCACCCGTTTGAGGATCAGCTTCAGATAAGCCTCAAACTGAGAAAATAAATAAGTTGTGATGATAAGATCAATATTCCCACAAGGAAATGGCATATGCCCTTTTGGCAACCAACTTTATTCGAATTCGATTACATTATCATGATAATAAATATCTCCTTTCATATAATTATAATGGATTACGTGTCAAATTATTAATTATTATTGTTTGGAGGGGAAAAAAAACGAGAAGAGAAAATCATCTGTGACATGTAGTCATATCCCAAGGTGATGTGTTTGATAATTATATAAGATCATCATTAGTATTTTATGATTAGATGTATAATGAGCTCATCGGAGACTTTCGTGGCATATTTTATACAAGGAATTTTCTTAATTGGTTTAAATCTTAGATCTTTACTTGTATTTCACCCATCCTTAATTATTGCTTGAGATTGTTAATTCATGGGGGATGGTTATATAATTATTGTAATATATTTTTTTGTCATATATTTGGAATGGCAAGATTATTCTTTTCATTATTTAGGGTTCATCTAGGAATAGTATGATTTTCTTTCAAGAATTACTACTATTCTGTGTAGTGAAAATACCACGAAAAATTACAGTTTGGACAGGGGTTTAAAAACTGATGAAAATCCTGTAGAGATACTTTTAAAGGTAAAATTAATTGATAAAGTAGTTTATAATAATGTTTAAAGATTTCCTGTGAGAAATTTGAATTAATCCTTCATTTGTCATGTGTGAAAACAAGAATTATGTAGCGGTACTCTATCCGGTTTTAAATATAAAAATTGGTCAGAAGATTAATTTTAGCCATAAATATTATAATTTAATTCATTTTGTTTCACAAATTTATTATTATTTTCACCAACAATCTTATTTATTACATATACTAAAGAAAGTTTTTATCAATGAAAAAAGTTTCAAATGTAAATAATTAAAATGAGAATTTTGAGAAAAAAAATAATACACATTTGTTATGGAGAACTAATATAACTAATTTTTTTAATCTCTATAAATTAGTTAATTAATTAGTTCTTATATTTATAACAGGATCAATTATTATTTACTTAAAAAGCACGTGTGGATATGGTTTCCTAATCGAAGGGCAAAAATAGGTTCAAAGTGTGAATAGTATAATATTCAAATTATTTTAATAAGGTAGTAAAAAAAATAAGCTTATAAGGTATAACCATTCATCCATATGCCATAAAACAAATCATTTATTGCAAGTTGAAATTTAAATATGAAAAATATCACATGGTAAAAACAAGGGAAAATTTCAGAAAAGGTCCCTCGAATATATGAAATCCCAGATTGGGTCTTGGAATTTCTAAAATGACAGAAAGGGTCAGTGACCCAATCTGTCATTTGGCAAATCAAGAGGAATTGACAATTTTGCCCTCATTTGTATTCATTCACTACAATGATTTAAGGAATCACTATAAGGGTTTAAGTATTACCTAGATTCATGTAGCGAATAACTACTTGCTTTTTCATATTCAGGTGTCTTGTTATTAACTACAACTAATTTTGTAATCACTAGAACAATATAAGTATTACCTGGATTCGTGTAGAGAATAACTACTCACTTTTTCATAGTCAGGCACCTTATTATTAACTATAACTAATCTTGTAATTATTAACTACAACTAATCTTGTAATCACCAGAACAGTGTAAGCGTTACCTAGATTTGTGTAGAGAATAACTACTCACTTAGTCAGGGGTAAAATTGTCAATTGGTCTTAATTTCACAAATGACAGATTGGGTCACTGACCCTTTCTGTCATTTTGGAAATTCCAGGACCCAATCTGGAATTTCATATATTCGAGGAACCTTTTCTGGAATTTTCCCTAAAAACAAACGATGTTTATATTTTATAATCAAATCATAATTATATATATAAATAAGTTTGTATTGACGCGCATTTTAATTGTGCTACTGATATTAATTAATTTATTTTGGATCCATATGTGATGTGTTTGAATTTATAAACTAAAAGCCTTGGATGCCTTTTTGGTCACATCCAAGAATATGAAATTACTTACACAGTAGATGTTGACATTAACCAATCCTTTCTTTTTTGTTTTTGCCAACAAACATTAACCAATATTAATTCTCAATTCTTAATTAATTACCACTAACTCATTTCCCACATGAATGATTAACCGAAGCCAACAAATACTACCTGTGACCCTTAATATAAAAATTAATTAACTAATTTAAGTAAGTTAAGAAAATTAATTAAATTATTTATTTTTAATTAAATAAGTATTATCTTTTCTAAAATATCCTTACTAACAAATCTT